TCAAATACCAAACCATCTCTAATATTGTTTCATTACATAGAATGCAGTGTAATCCTAAACACTAAAGATTTGGTTTGAAAACTTGAAATAATATAGAGGGATCATCAATAATTAATAGTAACATTCGATAATTATAAAAATGTATTATTGTAGGATGAAATCAACCTTTATTTTTAAACATTTAGTGAACATTTCGGATGTTAATGCCTCTTTTATATAAAATGGTTTTATTAATTAATCAATTTTTGTTTTACAAATTTTTAATTTTCTCCATTTTGTTTGATTTTTATGCTATATTTATTTTATCTATCTATAATTATTTGCCTGTGCTTTATCTATTAGTTCCCATTTATATACTGTAGAAAATTTTGAATTCCTAATCTGTTAAAGGGAATATTTTTTCTTAAAAGTATTTCAATTTAGTGCATTATTAATGTCTTTAGTGCTTGGTTTGGTTGATATTAAATTTAGATATATTTAAAATGTATGTTTTGGGACCATGGGGTAGGGATATTGTGAACATATATATTATATTCTGAGTTCTTTTTAAGGTTAATTGTAAAAAAAAATTAAATAGCTTTTTTTGAGGGGTGGGGGGATATTGTTACTATTGAACACAATTTTATTAGTATTGAAATTAACTTTGTTGATTAATATTCCAAATGTCTCGGTGCTTTATTTTTCAATTTAAATAGCTACTTTTTATTTAATAATTGGGAATGGGGGGGGGGGTGGGGGTATTTTTTCATTGTATAACACAATTTTATTAGTATTGGAATTAACTTTGTTTATTAACCTTCGAGATGTCTGTATTGGTATTAATTAGGCATTAATTTATTTTTTCATATCATTTATTGAATAAATAATAATTTAACAAACAAAATTATTATGTCATTTATCAATAATTACAGTTTAAACAGAACGAATGGAAGGGGTTGCATTCGAAAGGTTGCTATACTGGATATAAATTGGTAAAATACAACACAAGTTTTTGTTATACACAAGTTTGTACGAAACAACACGAGTTTCAGAAATTTCAACACAAGTTTCAGAAATTTCAACACAAACAAGTTTCAGAAATCTCAACACAAATAATGTGTAGATTTTCACACAGGTTTTGTGTTGTTTCAACATTTAACACAAGTTTTGTGTTGTTTCAACATTTAACACAAGTTTTGTGTTGTTTCAACATTTAACACAAGATTGTGTTGTTAAATAGAGACACCTAACTTGTGTTGAAAATAACACAAGTTTGTGTTGTTTCAACACAAGTTTTTTTTCAGTGTAGCTTTTCTCCCGGCTTGTATTCAATCATTTAGATTTCGCGAACAAGTTAAGATGGCGGCGGACGTCACCCAACAATCAGTCTACCGTAGACTACAACTTCCAAGAAATAAAAACCTGTATTGTGCGCAGATTATGCCAAACAAAAGAAGTAAAATGTGCCATTTGCACGGGATTTCGCTTCATCATATGTTTGTCAATACCATGAATGGCATTTAACAATTTTTGGACTGACAACCCAATTAGAAATTCATTATATCTGTATGTTGCAATTCTTCGGAAAAAAACGTTGAATTAGTAACTGGTGATCCTTAAAAATCGTTTTAGACATTCCAAATATAATTTTAACACAGAGGTCTTTGATATGGTTGATCCGTAGCAACGATTTGAAGAATCAGTAAGTGACGCAAAACATGAGTTATCCCTACTGGACTGAAGTAGAGAGTGATTACACAGTCGATTTTCAACTCAAGACGAAGTATTGTTAGCTGATATCTATTCGAAAAGAACTAGTCTTAAAAGGAATTGACTGTCATGAGATAAGAGAAACCGATCAAAATAGAAATGTTTTTATTTATTCTCTACTTATCGTGTTAATGTTATTGTTTCCTGTTGTAGTTTAGTTCCTGTTTAATTTATGTTCCTGTTTAATTTATGTAGCTGTTTTATATTTATGTTCCTCATGTAAATAAATTTTATTTTTACAAAACTGATATTCTGTTATCACTACTAATCTGGGCCCTTATTCACGAAAACTTAAACTAAGATAAAATCGAAATTTTAAGAAATACTGCAATTCGATTGGCTGACCAGTAAAATCAATTTGAATATATCCAATGAAGTTGCATTATTTCTTAAAATTTCAATTTTACCTTAGTTCAAGTTTTCGTGAATAAGGGCCCTGTTATTGAATATGTCAAAGTAATCAATAACATGTATCATATTAAGACCATAATTAAGTAGACTGTAAGAACCCGAGACGAGCGGAGAAAAGCAGAGGAGAACGTGGCTGAAGGGCGGAATGGTTGTCTTAATGCCTTGAATTAACTTATGGTATAATGTTCTCTGTAATAAATTTAACAAGGAACAAAACACGCGTCTGTTGTACCCTTGACTAATTGCGTTACGTTATTGCTATTATGTCAACGGAGACACATTGACAGCCACTCTTCTTCTAACAGACGACGTCTTACACTTACACACCAGAAATATATGGTGCCACATCATGAGGCGAAACCTAATATCCCTCGTCCAGTTGATCATGGGTAGCGAAGAAATGGTAATGGTATAAGTAGTCCCTGTTTTATTTGAGAAGGAATCTGCGAGAAGGACGTGTTTTTTTCCCAGTGATTCATGCTCACTCTAGACTTCTTGGACCCTGTTTCAAGACCCGCAAACCATCTAAACTGTCGAAGACCTAAGCCCACGAAGGGTAGTCAAGTCAGCTGCGACGACACCAGGGGTGGTGGTGGTGGTGGGGAGGGGGGGGGGATAACGGGTCGTTCCTCAGCCCGGAGCTACGTTCCACCTAGCGCCGATCAGAGCAACCAGTCCGAAGACAGGCGCTCTTCGTCTGACTACAACACTCCGAATCGATATCAACTCGCTACACACCGGAAGATACGCCGACGGGGACGAACCCTTCTCCACGACCGAGCCCGTCCTCAGAGAAAAACAAGTCCTTAGTGCGTCAGGCGTCGCTCTTCTTCGACGCTTTATTTAACGGGTTTCCATATGCAGACACTGTAAATATTACGCCGGGTGTTGCAATGGCAATATATTAAATGATGATATTTAAAACCAATTTATTGGTTAAATTTACTCATTTGAATATCATTGTAGTATTTAGAACATTTGGAATTTCGTAAAATAACAAAAACACGATGATTTTACGTTTCTTGGTGGACTCTTTATAAGAAATAAACCATGTTTTATTACGGTCTAAATATTATAAATATATTAATTCGTTGCAATGGATTATTCAAACTCAAAATCTGTGTTGTTTTTAAAATAAGGATTCCGAAGTTTAATTAACAAATTACCCTTTAATTGGTACTCTCATGAGAATATGATAGCAATGACGTCACTATTACATCGCAATTACATCATGTATGCAAATTTAAAAGTTCTGACCAAAAATATGACTCTCTCAGATGATAGTAAATGATTTTCAAGTTTGTTCAGCACCAAAGAACAAGAACCAAAAAATCTATCCATACCCATCAAATCTATTATCGGACCATTGGTAAAAGTGCAAAAAATTATGTTGGGCCATGTTGAAAATTTGCCCAAGAACCAGTTTTGAGTTCTGGTGATTTGACTCTATCAAAAAATATCCAAAGTGTTTTGTTCTTCCTTGGGTAGGGGTATCTCAGGGGCGGATCTAGGAATTTTGAAAGGGGGGGGGGCGCTGCAAAATGAAGGCATTGACCGCGGAGACGGGGCACGCCGCTGTGTTGGGGGGGGGGGGGTCCCCAAGAAAATTTCCTTGCATCTGTAGCCATTCTAATGGGTTGGGGACAGACATATTTATTCTGAGAAAAGGCACTTTCAGCATTAAAAAAGGGCACTGTCGAAAATTAGGGCGCGCGCCCCATTGAATACGCCTCTGTATCTCGCCATTTAAGCCCCTTTTGGGGCCTTGGCCGCTAGCCTAATTAGAGTAGCTTGAATTAACAATACACACATACTGTGCTCTTTTTTTTTTTTTTTAGATTACTCTACTTATGAGCGGCTTAACAATGTCTTGAGTTGAAGATATTAAGATGGCCTGACTTGGACTGGCCATTAATAAAATCATATCTTGTTGATGATAATTATATCTTAACAATAAACTTTCCACGTGCTGTGTCACTGCAGATAACGATAAACTTAATCAATACCGTTGTGCGATCGCTATGGAGCGGAAATTACCTATAGTAATATGAAGGCTAATATACTTACTTCTATGGATGTAAATTCTTACTTACATAATATACAAAATATATATGACTTATTTCTTAAATATTCTATTTACAATTTGTATTTTGTTCTATTTCCATTATTACTTTTAATTTATTATAGTCAGTTTGTTTTCGTAAACATTTTGACATTTCACAAATGTTACACGGCAGAGACGTCATAATTTTAACGTTTCTTTTAACAAATGGCGCTGTTTACAATTCTTTTGTCATTTTTGTCGCGGGAATTAGAAAAGCCAGAATACGTCAGACAGTCTGTCTTAGAACCTGATTCAATTTCTTACAGCAGTCCACATATAGCCACGTAGCGGTTGTAATTTTGTGTTTAAACCATTGGTTTTGTGTCTTCAAATTATCTCTAAAGCGTCACGAGTGTCGTAAACGAGGCAGGATATGCTAAGTCTTTCTAGAACATATCGTGTCACTTCTCATTCAATGAGTTAAAGTAGCTAACTAACTGTGTGTGGGTGGATCGCTGTGGGGATTATGCTGCTTTGCTGTACTTAACATCTGAATTATCACTGCCTTTTTCTAATCTACCCCCCCCCCCCCCAACCCAAAGTGATATCACGGATAAAACATTGGGAATGATTTACTTTTGCACCTAAAATAATTTATTTTGGAAAGAAAAGATGCGTGCTTTTGGGTTATATGAAAAATGCGCAATTTCCTATGTCCTCAATCCGCCACCATATAACTGTAAATGACATAAATTCTGCTCTATATATCACTGACTCTTACCAGCCCGGTAAGACTAGGCGCTATTTGTAGTTGTCACAGGTTTATAAATCATTTATTAGTTAGCATTTGGAATCCAGGCAAAATGGGTATTATATTATCAAGGAAATTCTTCATATTCTTGTGTTTCATTTGTGGAATTTATATAGGATATTTAATGATTATGTTTCGTACATTTCAACGGTGAGTCCTTTTATGATGTTTCTTTAATATATTCCCACGATGCTATATATTTAATACTATAGAAACTATTTTTAGCGGACATTGAGTGAAAGCGATATAATATAATGAAGGACAGTTTTATGTGAATGTTATCGATAATTCATTACGAACAAAATATTATAGAAGGATCTGTTGAAAGGCCTTAATATAAATAGTCGGGTCGTTCTAAAGGTTTGTCCAATACTCCATTAAATAGCCGTTAGATACAACGACCCGGGACTGTACAGCGCGAATCGTGAAAGTGGGAAGCTAGCATTAAGGCGGTTGTATAAACATCTTCTATTTCTATAGTAACAAAAGACTGGTTTGCGCAAATAAAAGTAATTGTCAGACCGTGTATGATACCCCTGTGTCTAAAAATAAAATAGATATTTGAGTAACGCCCTTGTTGAATAAGTAGCCAATAATAGTATATCTATATATATATTTGTGACTGTCGTTTGTCTGTCTGTCTGTCTGTCTGTTCGGGGTTGGCGGCTACACTAGGTCTGCCCCGAGTCTGAAATTTGGGGTATATGGGTAGCTCGGACCGGGGAGTAACATAGGCCAGGTGGCGTTAGTCTACCACTTCCGGTTTCGGAGTTATGACCCCCGAGCGAAGCCGGTCTGTTCGGGGTTGGCGGCTACACTAGGTCTACCACTTCCGGTTTCGAAGTTATGACCCCCGAGCGAAGCCGCGTATCCTGCTAGTATAATATAAATCTGCTTGTATGGTAAGGGATTTAGAAACATTGCTGAGTAATTTCATTAGCCAGTAAGCGCCTCTAGATCCCCTGGAGCTTCCGGGCCCTAGCCTAAAGTCCTGGGATAGTAGCCCCCCCCCCCGCCCGCCGGCCCTGGTGTACTGCGTCTATATCATATACATTGCAGTTTTAATAAGAAGGTTAAGCACATTCTGACTGACTGCAAGTTTCTTGAGGACATCAGATCTATTTATTACCATTGCCAATCATTACATAAGTTATTTGCCCAACCGGGTCTATATTGCAAACTACTACACTCTTTTAAAAAAGACCAATTCTTATTGTCAGTTTTAATTGTAAATATATATTATACATCACCTTGTTTTTCATTTTTAAATATTTATGTACATGAAGTGTGTTTTTTATTTTTAATTATTTAATATACTGTGATATTTGCTTTTATTTGTGTACATGAATACTTTGTGATATTATATAGTGTCTCATACTATTCACCATATGTCTGGTGCAATATAACCCGGTTGGAGCTGACGTGCCATAAAACCATATTTCATTCATTCATTTAATAAGATGGCGGGTCGTATTAATGTTTTGTTCCATATCTTATAAATACCCCGTACATGGAGGTTTGTACTACGTATATCAGTTTTTATCTAGCTGACTTAAAGGCTCAATACCACTCTTGTTGTAACTGAATAATATGTCCCAATCTTTATTCTGGTCAACAAATTGTACTATTTTACAATATTTCAATTAATTGATGATACAAATTTCATCTTAACAAACCTTATTTAAAAATTTTGAAAAATTCAACATAATGGTTTGAAACGTCTAACGTAAACATTTTCAAATGAAACTTCGATTTAAAAATATTTTCGAATCCTCTGGACAAGTAAAATAGGATGTAATGGATAATTTACACAACAGGTAGGACACTTAAACATCTAGTACTTAGATAGAGATATTATTTATTTTCTAGAGCTTTCAAGCCAGCAAGAGTGTGATTATCCCTTTAAGGGTTAAAAGGTTACTGTGAAAAATGAGATATTCATATTAGTTGTCGAGCTATTTATTTCCCCGCTTACATCCTATTTGGATCTTTGCCTCGCGTTTAAGTCAATCTCGCCCATTATACCCCCGTCAGACCGGGGTGGCGTCCTTACTATGCTACTGCGGCGACGGCAAATGGTCTCGGAACGCGTTAAGATCGCCATAAGCATGGTAAATGCATGATGAAAACGCCAGAAATCGTGCTGTGGTCTCCATGGTCGCAAATGATCGCCAAGGTTCTGCGATCTGACCTGGACAGCTGTGAGAAAGCGACTTTTTTCAAGTTTTTAATTATCTGGACATTTTGTCGAGTTGTGTTCACGTTTGCCGACGATATCGTACATTTTCTGGTCGCCGTACGGTCGTAGCAGCGCAGTAAGGACTCCGACCCGGTCTGACCGGGGCATTACTAATAAAAATGAATCCAAACGCCAAAAATTAACTACCCCGATATTTTTCTTCTGCAGACCTGGGAGCAACAGTAGCTTTTTGAGAAACCTGGAAGCCCCGTGTTCGATCAGAGAAAGGTCATGAGGATTTTCTGGCGTGATTCCCCCTTGTCACTCAGTGGGGCAGGACCGAGGGTCTGACAAGGACAACTGTCTAGTCGTTCGGATGGGACGAAACATCGAGGTCCCGTGTACACATTGACGTGCACGTAACAGAACCCTTGACAGTTGGAATTCGATATAAGAGTAGACCGTAGGGCCGATGTTATAGCGTATGCCCTTTTCATTAGCCAAGTCGGAGCAGAATAGGGGAACGTTAAACCCAATTTCATTTCATGAATCCCGGGGTGAGGGTAGGGGGGTAAATATCTATATAATTATTTATCGTCGGCCTGGTCGGTATTCGTGCCACAGGGCCCCGACCCGACCCCCAATGTCCTATGTATGGCTATGCAGGGGTAAATTTCGAAACCCTATTTTTGCATAGGCCTTGGAGGCCCTGAATTTGTGAAGGGATTCTACACGTGCTGTCGCACAAGATGACGGTCTTGTCACCTTGTGGTAACCCTTGGTCTACCAGTTCGGGGGCGAGCATCCGTGGTGTTGGTGGCCCGAAAGCGTTGCTGAAGCCTGTAGATGGTCTGCACATTGACCTGGAAGTGATTGGCAACGGCTTGGGCAGTGTGGCCAGCGTCGCATCTTCCAAGCGTCTGGTTCCTCTGAGCTGTCGTGAGTCGGGGCATGCTGCTGGCGTTGTAGTGTGAATGGTTCAACCATGCAGGTATGGGAGTGCATTTTATAGGGCTGGTCCCGGTGAACAGCACGTGCAGCATGAGTTACATGAAAATCATGGAGAACACATTACCATCTCTGAAGTCAGGTTGCGTTTTTGAGAACATTTCCTGGGTTTGGAAAGGAGCCTTATTGCTCAGGTAAAGTTGGAGATGTGGTCACAAATATACAATAAAAACATTTGGCAAGTTTTGTGCAATGCGTCTATTCAGAGAAACATACTCTAATAGTAAGTCATCTTAAGGATATTAGATCTAATCATTACCGATGCCAGTCCTTATATCAATTATTTGCTCAACCGGGTCTATATTGTAGATTACTAGACTTTTTAAAAGAGACAAATTTTTACACAAAATTTTAATTATATATTGTAATTTTCATTTGTTGTATTTTAATTATATATATATATATATATATATATATATATATATATATATATATATAAAGTATTGTGATAGTCGTTTTTAATTGATAATCTCTGTGATATTTGTTTTTATTTATGTATATATAGATTACTATTGTGATTATTATTAGGTTTGTCCAAACTCTCATTAAATAGCCCGAACATGCAGGTGTTTACTGCGTCTATATCATATACATTGCAGTTTTTATAAATTGTTGGGTTGTTCTAAAGTATTGTCCAAAACCTTATAAAATAGGTCATACATAGAGATGTGTACTACGTTTTTATAAGATAGCGGGTCGTTCTCAAGTTTCCTTATAAATACTCCCGTACATTGAGGTGTGTTTGTTTAAACATAGTTTATAGTACTATAGAACATAAATAAAGTACAAAAGGATTGGGACAAAAGTTACTACGTATATCAGTTAAATGGTCACAGTGAAATATGAGATATTCATATTAAAGGTCGAGCTATTTCCCCCTTGGTAATCCTATTTGGAACATACATCACTCTCGCCAATTACTCTCCCGTCAAAAGGCATAACCTAGTAACACACTTTTTCTTATTTTGAGAAAACAAAGGAAAACGTAATGAATGAATATTAAACCCCAGCTCATCCATTGATTTGACTATTGAGTTTTGCTGTGGTATACTAGGCAAATGAAGGAAGTTGCTAGGTTGTGTCATGGGTGTAACTGCTTACAAAATCAGAACGACAGAAGATTGGAATATCTAGTACAACAACATGAAGCACATACCCTAGTAACTACAAATTTGGTCCTAACTCAATTTTGATAAAAAAAAGTGAGTTACTAGGTTTTGCCTTTTGACGGGAGTACTAACAAAAATAAATCCAAACGCCAAAAATTAAATATACCCCCAATAAGTTTTCTTCTGCAGACCAGGGAGCCACGGTAGCTGAGTGAGCTGGATGCTGGCTGGCTAACCTGGAGGTCATGCTGAGAAAGATCATCTCGATTTTTTGGCGTGGTTCCCCCTTGTCAGTGGGGCAGGCCGAGGGGCCTGACAAGGACAGCTGTCTAGTCGTGGGACGAAACAGCGAGATCCCGTGTACACATTGACGTGCACGTAAAAGATCCCTTGAAAGTTGGAATTCGATATAAGAGTAGACCGAGACGGCGTTCTTCGGGTAACATTTCCCTCATACCAAACGTTAGCGTTTGTCCTTTTTATTATACGTCCACATTCATAATGTGGACGTATATTGCCGTCGCCCCTGTGTGTGTGTGGGTCTGCGTTTGTATATGGTGTATATCGAGGACACACATCTGAATACACACCTTCTAATCGCGGACCTGTGTCAACCGAGGACGTCCTCGGTTCAACCAAGGACTTTTTGAACTAAATCTAGGACTGTAACGGTGTTCAGACGCCCGGATTTAATATCCCATTTGATTTTAAGGTCGATCTGAGGTGACCTACGTTAGGCAGTATTCTACAGTTGGGGTGTATCTTTCGTGTGTGTGATCTGCAAAGGGAAAAATATGATTATGTGTATCAAGTCCGCGGTGAGTGTTTATTGGACAGCGAGTGTATCAAGTCCT